AGAACACTAAATACTAGACACTACCATGTGCTGCCTGGAAAGAGAAGAAGAAATGTGTGATATCTGGTGACCTGGTACAGGGGCCAAATGTAGTTTAAGGATTAGCGCTATATTATGAGATAAAGTCTTCAGAATATTTTTGTTGGCCTATTTTACAACCAAGGCCTGGACTCTTCACAATTAAAGCATCCTGCTCTGTACAATGAATTATTTTTCTATTTACCTAATGCACCCAACTTTCCATCAATAGCTAGTATGTGGCACAATCGTCACTAAGTCCTTTCAGAGTACACAGAGCAGCAGCTGCTCTTTAAATACAATATAAAGAAAGATAAGGGTCCAGCATACAATATGGCTAGACCTCCTTCTTGGCAATTCACTCTTCAATCATAGGCTTTTAGGCCTGAAAGGCAAGAAAGTCAGGCTCACCATACATGATCTCTTGCTAGTCTGTGGGCAGGATCAGTGCCTATCCCTGACAAAATTATCATTCATCTGTAGTGATGCAAGAAAAATTGAAATAATGTACATTTTTAAAAACCTAAATCTATTCAATGTATGGGTCCATGACTTATTTTGAGATCACATCCTTCCTACATTTGGCTATTAAAGATCCTCTCATTATAAAATGATGAGGACAGCAGACAGTAACGTTCTTAACTGGAAAAATTAAAACTTGACACACTGTGGGTCTCCCCATCACTTTCACCCAGGCTGGAGTGCAGTGGTGCGATCTCAGCTCACTGCAAGCTCCGCCTCCTGGGTTCACGCCATTCTCCTGCCTCAGCCTCCCAAGTAGCTGGGACTACAGGCGCCCACCACCATGCCTGGCTAATTTTTTGCATTTTTAGTAGAGACGGGGTTCCACTATGTTAATGGTCTCGATCTCCCGACCTCGTGATCTGCCCAGCTCAGACTCCCAAAGTGCTGGGATTACAGGTGTGAACCACCACACCCAGCCCCACTTTTTTGTAAATTGTATTGATCCAGAAAAATCTAAATGCCTGAGAAGCTCTCTTCCCTGGAATTATGAGAGTAGCTATTCATGTATAAAAATTCACTATAATTTACCAAAAATTACACAGACCACAGAGTTAGGCTACTTTGAAGCAGCAAAGATGGTAGTGTCCACAGATAAATGACACACATAGAATATACAGCCTGAACATAGAATGTGAACCTGTGAGCCTAAATACCCAGGAGCCTTAAATCTGTAACAGAAGTTAATGTGAAGGGAATAAACAGTTCCAGTGGAATGGTGAATGCACAGAGTGAATGCATTTTGCTAACTAGTGTGTTAGCAAAATGGCAAAAAAAAAAAATCATATAGCATTAAAGTTGGACTTCACAAGCTAAGACATCCAACAAGGTTCAAAGAAAATAAGGAGCTTCCACAGCCGCCAGAACAAACACACAAGAATTAATTTTAGTTGAACTCAAACTTGTCTTAAATCAATAATCTTCTACTCACATTAATGTCTTGACTGAATATCACAATGCAAAACACCCACACATTATGGAAAAGGATTCCAGCTGGTGCTGGGTGCAGTGGCACACACCGATAGTCCCAGCTACTCAGGAAGCTGGGGCAGGAGGGTCCCTTGAGATCAGTTCAAATGTACCCTGGGCAACATAGTGAGACCCTTTCAGGTAACAGGAGGAAAAATGCAGCATGATTATATCGTTCTCTTGTTATAAGGCACTGTCATTTAAGTATAACCTGGAGTATTCACAATAGAATTCAGATTTACCAGATGAGAGCATGATAAGCAGTGTCAGATGGCTGTGGAAAGATACGTGTTTCTGAAACCTACAGGTATCAAGAAGGAAAAACACAAATACATCTTGTTTAGTGTAGAGTTGCAGTTTAAACCGTTTAAAGTCCCAAACTCTGTTAATTTTTGAAACCGTGTCAGTGCTGACTACTGGGAGTATCAAAAATCTCTTTAGGGCTGTTATTATATTTATAATTTCTAAAAGGTGAGGGAAGATAACTCGATGGATTTCTATTAAAAGCTGTTCCTGGCCAGGCGAGGTGGCTCACGCCAATAATCCCAACACTTTGGGAGGCTGAGATGGGCGGATCACCTGAGGTCAGGAGTTCGAGACCAGCCTGGTCAATATGGTGAAACCCCGTCTCTACTAAAAATACAAAAATGTTTGTACAAACATTTTTGTATTTTTAGTAGATAATGCGTGGTGGCATGCACCTATTATCCCAGCTACCATGGAGGCTGAGGCACAGAATGGCCTGAAACTGGGAGGCGGAGGTTGCAGTGAGCCGAGACTGTGCCATTGCACTCCAGCCTGGGTGACAGGGCAAGACTCCCTCTCAAAAAAAAAAGGTCATTCCTGTGTGTTCCATGTAACAGACAGAGTATTTGCTTACAGTGTCTGTCTGTTTAATAAGCCAGCCATTTAATTTTCAATAAAATCAACAAAAAAGAAAAAGGTGCGTGGATATGTGATTTTGAGGGGGGAAAAAAAAAGTCAGTCTTAAAATGTAAGTAAAATATGGAAAGTGACCTTTAACACACACACACACACACACACACACACAAGGAAAAAAAAAACACATTCCCAAAAGCGTACCTGGTCTTACTCTACACTGCGCGGTTGGCCACGTCCCTGTGCTTGAGGTGGCCCTTGGTGGCAGTTCAGAACCAGGGGACCTGTAGTCCCCTGTATAAGCCAACTCACACCTAACTCTGTATGAGCCAACTCGTCCCTACTCCCAGGACATTCTTCCACATGGAAACCCTCTCTCCTCTCTTTTACCATAACACAAGAGCACTCTCCTCCTCAGAATCCACCTCAGTTTTCACAGTCTCCACAAAAAGAAATCAATAAACAATCCTGGCTTGCAGAGATCTCCTCCTAGTTCTGCGTAACCATAGCATTTACACACTCAACAGGATAGAGCATTAAGTGAACACCGGATGACTGATACAAGTATTTTCTCTGGAATTGGATCAGGGATCATCTGGGATTAAAAGAGAACATAAATATTATTCGCCACGTATTTTGGAAAAATCATAGTCAGCAATTCCATTATCCTAAATACAAATACAAAAGTATTTAGGATATTAAATACAGAAATACAAATATTTCTGCAGAAACAAAGCCTCACTACCAGGATTTAATCTTCATTCAAAACAAACCATTACCTGTGCTTAATGGACCGGAGCTGTTGAAACGCCACCAAGTAACCGAACCAGTCTGGATATTCGGTCCAGAAATGCTATCTGAGTACAGAGCAAAGAGCGCAGCTTGCTAATTACGCTTCCCACAGCTTTCAAGTTCTTCATGTCACGAGCAGAGCTATGGAATTCTCAACCAGAAGTTCTTGCCTCTCCATTTACAGCCACCTTTCCCCAGAACTTTTGTTACCAGAGTCTGTCTTTGAGGGCTGAGATGAAATGAAGAAATGGCCTTTGAAACCCAAAGGAGGCAGGGCAAAGACCTTGACAGTCCAAGGTGGTCTTGCCCCTCACTTTGTGACACACAACCCAGTGGAGTTAACTGTCTTGGATTGTTTTGTGTCTTGTTTCCTTTTTGATGCATTCTGGTGTGAATTTTTCCTTGTCAGGTTGGTTGAGGATGGGACAGGAGCCAGAGGTGACACAGAAGTGTCGCAGGCAGTAGAAAGGAGAGGATATCTATAGGTACTGAGCAAACAGCTCCTAGACAGGTAAGCTCTGAGGGCCTTCCCCATCCAGGCCTTTGAGAAAGTGCTTCTCCTTACTGTCCGCACCACTGCACACCTCCTCCACACTTCAATATGCTGGTTTGGGTTTTCTCTCTCCAGTCTTAAAACATGGAACGTTTCACATCTAAAGTTCACATCTTTTATTAATAATGAAAGACATATCCTGAGCTTCCAGAGATTTTTTTTATTATAATTAAAGTAATGCTGTGAAACACTTCAACAGCATCTTCTAACATACATGTATCACTGACATAAAATTATGCAGCCATGATTTCCAGCCTCTGAAGTGGTACTGGATATCGTATCCGGTCATGAGCAATTTTATATTTAATATTAAGCACATACACAGTTGGGAATGTCAGAGAAAAGACTGGAAGACCAGCGGCCCCCAAAACATACTCTTACATGACACTAAAGGGCTATTTTCTGGGGTAAACTGAGGTTCCTTCTAGACATATCATCAAGACCTGGACTGAATCCAACATCCTCTCACTTTCACCAGTGTGGACTGTCTGTCTCCACTGTGCCTGGCAGTGGGCAAATGATGGGAGTAAAAGGGGGGCGAGAGGGAGCTCCGTTCCTCAGGAGCTCACAGGCAGCGAGAAAGACGCTAAGAAGACTAAATGGTACAACCCATGGGGCCAGCGCCGTGGCAGTGCCCTATCAAGCATACAGGGAGCACAGAGAGACAGAGCAATTCTGCCTAGAGAAGAAACTAGAGAAAAGTTCCACAGAAGACATAAGATTTCAACTGGCTATCAAAGAAAGAGCAGGAGTTAACTAAGAATGTAAGTCGGGAAAGAATTATTTGGACAGAAGAATCACTCTCGAAAAATCTCTCTTTCTCCCTCCCTCCCCCAGTGGCTTGGGGTGAATAAAACCAACCCACAAATTTTAAACTAGCTAACCTAGACTTTTCATTACTGTTGCAGTTTCTCCAATGGTTGTTTGTCTTCAGCTCGTCACCCATTCATAGCATCCACAAAAGTGACCTACTGAATTTGCAGAGGCAGAATTTTTACAAGAATAGTAACACTAGGGTCAAATTTAATACTGTAGATTGCCTTTCTGGCCACATGCTCATGGCACATGCCAAGCCACAAGAGTAGATGGGAAGGAAGCTTCATGCGCTGCCCTAGGCTTCTGTTGCATTAAGCATTTTTAAAATTTTAGTATAAACTGATAAAATTCAAGAGCTATGCATCTACTTTTAAACTAAATCATTTTCAGTAAATCGCTGAATACTTTATTCAGAAAACAAGATTTTTACAAGATGATTTGTTACTCTTACCTCCATGGGAAAAGCTTTGAAATTAACCGTGTGCTCAGAACCACGCTGGTTTTCTCTTCCCCAGTGAAATCTCACTTCATACAGTTCAAATTCATGCCCTTGAGGCAATGGTCCTCCCGAAAGAACTGAAAAAGAAAATATATGTTACTGAATTACATCACACATTTACCTCAGCATTATAAACATTAGAGACTTTTTTTTTTTCCACCAAAATGCTCTCATGGGTTCTACAGATTAAATTCACAAAGTCAAAATGAGAAATTTACCACAACTGTGAGGTGAATTTAAACAATCTAGGCTTGGCTGAAATTCTTGTTCTGGCCATTCAGACATAGCAGAAGTTCGAAACCTCTGAAAAACTCATAATGATATGTATATTTTAATTTCCTATGTGTTTTCAGTCTAGAAGTAGACAAGGAAAACAAATTCCTCTCTTAGAGATGTAAGCTTAGCACTGATCAAGAGACAAAAAATATGGTTTAACTCTCAGACTGACCAATAATATTCTGTAGACGTCTAAATAAATTAAACCACATTTGCAGATCATCCACTTGCACTAGGAGGCTTCCAATTTAGAGAATTGTGGTGTGGACTAACAAAACTATCCATGAAGAGGATTGATTAGCATTAAGTCAATCAATAATGAAATTGCACTTCAATAGCTGATGGACATTCATTACCACAAATGACACAAAATAAAACTGCAATAAAATATTAACAATACTCAAAATATTAACATCAGTCCCACAAGATCATGTCTCTTTTACTCATTGTTGGATATGATCAAGACCTTTGTCCCCAACATGGGCACACTAAAGGATAATGAAAAATACATTTGCATGAGAACCTATCTCAAAACAATAAAATTCTTTAGTTAAAAATTCCCTGACAGCATACATACAAACTTGAAATAAAGTTTCCTACAAACAAATGGTCAGTTTCAATACAAATAAAAGTTGTTTAACTCAGGGCATTTTTCCTCTAGCAACTCCCAATTCTGAATAGTATCAGCTAAGAATTTTAGGTTATTTAGTGAACAAAATTCAACACCTTCCCTTTCCTAGAAGTAGACTTTTTGAAACAGATCATCCTTCACATTTGGGTTGCCTTTGAGGAGGACATAACAGATTCCACACCTCTTTTGAGGAAGAGTTCTGTCATTCATCCTTATCCTAAAACTCAAAGAAGAAAGCAAATTGGTGCAACAATATTTACTTGTTTGGTTGGTTCTTCATCTAAAGACTTGTTCCAAAAAGGATTTAAGGCTGCTTATGTCAAGGTACATACAATACAGTCAGATAGCATAAATTAGGAAAAAGAACAAGGGGAAGCAAAGAAAGAGGCTGAAAATAGATGGAGAAATGAGGCTATCAGACACAATGGAGGTCATGGAGTCCTTGATAAAGGTGCCCCACAAATCTGCTCCCAAGCTTTCTAACAGCTCAAACAACAAAGACAAGCAACATCCAGAGCAAGAGATAACTTTAATTTTTTGAGTGGATACACTTCACATCAAGGGGAAGGGAAGTGAGATTTACGGCCTTTAGGATGACACCGTCATGCATGATTTTAGATTTTAGTGTTTGTCCTCATGCTTGGTCTGACTTACGTCACACAACAAATCCAAGGGGATAGTGTTATCATCAACCCCACAGACAGGGCAGAAAAGTGGGATGAGAGGGGCTAAGTGTGACCTGCCACAGTCAGCCTCCTGGCAGGCTCCAGGACAGGACCTGGAACTCGAATCTTCTGACCTACATTCCAGGGGTGAGGCAGGGATAGGGAAACCTACATGTCAGTATCTGTGAGCATGAACTAAAAAACAATGACTTATCTAAGCCTAGATTTATAAACTGAAGTTGCTCCTTGGAGAACTGCACTTCATCCTATTTCCCAGAATAATCTAAAAACTTGTAATACATGGATCAGAAAGGTTTGTAGATACTCAGAACCACAGTGCAAGCTCACTTCACCTTCCTCTCCAATAAACATCCATTCTGTGGATTTAAGAATGTATGAAATGTTTTCTAAATAGCCTCACAACTCATTCCTTTCTCTTGGCTGTCCAAATTTGGTCTTAAGAAAAACCAGGACTGAGACTAGGAGTCTACCCACTGTGTACCCCACCTCCCACACCAAAAAGGAAAAAAGAGAACGAGAAAATACACCCCTCACCATCCCCAGCAACAGTGGGGCCCAAGGCCTCAGCGGGTGAGCTCTATAACACCACTTCTAAAACAAAGTGATAAAACTGTCCTAGAAAAGGCTCAGCTCCACATGGCTAAGGAAGAAGAAAGAGGAGCGTCATGAAATGAAGCACATGTGAAATGGGAAAGAGGATTTTTAAAACTCCTTCCCCAAAACCCCTTTATCACGTACACTCAGAACACACACACACACACACAAAGGCACATGGTATTTCTAAAACTGTTCTGTTACAGAGCAGTTTACTAGCTCTACTAGTAAACAGCAGTCTACTAGTACTGTCATATGGAAATGAATGATACAGCTTGTAGCTAGTCTTGACAGTGATTTCAGGGGACCATAAAGAGATCCATGCTTCAAAAATACACTCCCTGCATGACCAATGCTCAAAACTTCCTTAACAGCAATGAAGCCTTTCACTTAAACTTGGAGACAGTTTAAGTGAAACACTGTGGAAATTCAAACTGCATAGACCCACGTTTTGATAGGGAGAACTTCAAAATCCAGAGAAGTTTACTCATCCTTCCAACAGGTATTTTTTTGATCATCTACTACATTGTACCAGGTACTGTATTAAGTATTTACAATACATTGATTTTGACAAAACAGACAAACTTCCCTGGCCTTGTAGATCTTACATTCTATCATGCTGAAGTGTAAATTCATATATTTTTCAAGATCGTATTTTTTCTGAGTCCTATCTGGTTATTACATCGCAGGTTTATTAACTGTCATGTCATGATACTCAATACAATGACAATAAAGTAGTTATATTCTATGGTATGAAAGGGAATATACTGAGAAGGGAAGTGTTCTGCCCCAGCGTGGTTCTCCAGGGAGAGGTGACAAAGAGGTGGCTATCAGCCAGGAACCAGGCTCTGGGTACTTTTCACTGTTGCTGCAGATGAATAATCCAAAGTTAAACCATATTAAAGTCACATAGCCACACAATGCCATAAAAAATGACAAAACTCTGAATTCAGGGTATTATGAGGTGCCAGGTAAAAGCATTACCTGTTCATCCCCCAAGAATGATTGTGTTTATGGACTAAAAATAAATAGCAGCTCTGTTTTAACCATCTGGTTCTTCATCTAAAGACTTGTCTGGTAACATCCTCTTTCAGCATTATTCTTCTTTTTTACTGCTTACATTTTTTTAAATAAAGAAAAAAATGATCTCAGAAGGGGTAGCCTTTTTCTAGATTTATCCAAATCAAATTTTGATCAAATTTAATAATTTTGCTGAGTGATATTGGGTCACTACATGGCAGGTTTATTAGTTATGATGTCAGCTGGTTCAATAAAGTTACAATGAAAAAACATGAAACTCCTACTGATGACATGCTGAATTTTTTTAGAAAAGGAACTTGTGAAAAGAATATAAAATAAACTGATGCCATTGCCACAGCCTCCATTTTCTTTAATGCTCTTTAATATGCTTGGCAATTCCATTTATAAGACATAAATAAGAGCTCCCTGAGAAAGTTTCTGTAAGATTTGAAAACCCTATAAAGATGTGATGTATATACATTTATCTAAATCTATCTAAGCTTCTACAATCCTTTGCTGAAAACCAATTTACCAGATAATTCAGAGGCTAGTGCTCAAGCCTTATTCTTTCTCTTTTCATTTGACTTCAACGCTAAGTTTTGAGATCAACTCGACTCCTGGCCCTGTGCTGACCACTGAGTGTACAAAGCGAAGAAGATCCAGGCTTGGTGTTGACTGGGCAGTCTCAGTGGTTAAAAGAGTAAACTGAATAGTCTAAATAGAACATATTAAGAGCAGGAAAGAGTAGCAGGAGAGCATCCAGCAAGGGATAAGCCAGTAACAAGCATGAATCATAAAGTCAGGGAAGATGTTCCCAAGAAGATACCAGTTCAGCTGAGTCTTGAATAAGCTAACAGGTGAAAAGTGCATGCAGAGTAGAGCAAAGAGCCTAAGAAATATTCTGAGACATGAAGCAGTTTAAGTGTGTTCTAGGAGAATAAAATCAAAAGTTAGTAACAGTCAAGGCGGGCATGAGGAGGAGACGTACAGCCTATGCTTAGGAGCGGGGGTTTCTCCTGTCCGGAACCATCGAGGGCTTTTAATCAGGAGACTAACATGGTCATATTCGCAATTTGAAGTATTATTCGTGCAGTATCTGCAGATGACAGAATAACAAACAGTAAGCCTAACCAGTTAGAAAGCTGCTATCATGTCCAGTCACAGATGGTGAGGCCGGGAGATGGAGCCTGCAGAGCCACACCTCCAGCACAGAGGAAGCCCCACACCAGTGGGTCCCTGGTACACCACCCGAAGGATCCAAAGGATTCATTCTTATTTATTTATTTATTTGTTTATTTGTTATTTATTTATTTATTTTTGAGATGGAGTCTTGCTCTGTCATCCAGGCTGGAGTGCAATGGTGTGATCTCAGCTCACTGCAACCTCTGCCTCCCAGGTTCAAGTGATTCTCCTGCTTCAGTCTCCCTAGTAGCAGAGATTACAGGTGTGTACCACCATGCCTGGCTAATTTTTGTATTTTTAGTAGAGACAGGGTTTCACCATGTTGGCCAGACTGGTCTTGAACTCCTGACCTCAAGTGAGCCACCTGCCTTGGCATCCCAAAGTGCTGGGATTACAGGCATGAGTCACCATGCCCAGCCCCAAAGGGTTCATTCGTAATGGGTTTAGAGACTTTATAACCTCAGAGTAACTTTTAAGAAATTCCAATTTTATCTCTAAAACTTCCCCAAAATAGTATTATTTAGCTCTTTTTTAACATTTGAGGCCTTAAAAGCAAAAATTTTTCAATATTTTTAAACTGTCCTTGGCTGTTAACCTATAGCTCTATTAAATATCTTCAGCTCTTAAGGGTAAAGATCATAACAATAGCATGGAGAGCAGGCCGGGCAAAGTGAAGCACATGCAAAGT